GTTCTGGATCTGTTGTATTATGTTAGCTTTTTGTATAATTGTGAAAGATAAATTACTGAAAAATGAGTACTTTATTGTTTGTCATGCAATAGCAGAGGAGAACAGCAAGGATAAAGTAGACATAAAGATGTACTTTGGTGGAAAATTCAAAGAAAAACCAAGGCTCCACTACACGGGAACCCACATGGCCATTTTCAAAGAAAGAGTTGAAGATAAGGTAGACATAGTGAGTTTGTGCAGAATGTTTAAGAAAGTAGATGAAGGAGCAACGAGAGTAACGTTTTGGTTTTGTGCCCCCTTTGTTGATTTGGATGGTGGCCTACATCCAATTAGAAACAATGATGATATTAAATTGATGAATTTGGCATATGAGGGGACACCAGAAAGACTAATTTATGCTTGTAGTGGGGATGAGCCATTTGAAAAAGAGCCTGAAGATGGTGGGGTCAATGATGGTATATCTACAAAGGAAACATCCAGCAACACAACAATAAAAAAGAAAGGCAGTGATACAAAGGATGGTGGGGTAGCTATAGTTACTACAGGGACAGATACAAGTACTGATGATAATGAAGAGCCAGAATGGTTAAAAGAGGGGTTGGAAACAATAGAAGATGAGGACATATTTGCACCCAAGAAAGATGCCGCAGGAGATAACAACCAGACCAATATAACTAGTGGAGGCAACAACCAAAAAGCTGATGGAGACAAGGACAAAGCTGATGGGGCCACTGTTTCAGCAAGACTCCCTCTGCACGTATTCTCATTTGCTGAGAATAAAGATGAAAAAAGTGCTGCTAAAAGTGCGGATGCAAGGAAGAAAAAGACAAGTAAAACCAAGCAATCAAAAGGGCCTGATGTGATTCAGAAAATTCCACCAACTATTTCAACTCAAATACCATCACAAATTCTATCAGAAGATGAAGCTGTTAGAACTGAAAAAGACCCTTCAACAGTTGGAGATCCAGATTTGAGAGCAGGCATACAACAAGAAGTGAATGATGATGTCGTTGAAGAGAATTGGCAGGAACCAGTGATTTCGGATGAGGAGTTGCTGGATGCAAAAAGATGTGATGGTAGAGAAGATGATGATTGCCTTGACTTTAATCCTGAAGTTGAGTTTAAGAAGCCAAACTTTGAGCTGAAAGTGGGGCAGAAGTTTACTAATTTCAGAGTGTTCAGATTTGTGTTGCGTGAATGGCTAGTCAGAGAAGGATATGAAGTTACTTGGGTGAAAAACTACTCCAAGAAAATTATTGCCAAGTGTGCGAAAGGCTGTACATGGAGGATTCGTGCAACACCAATTCAATTTGAATCAACCTTTCAAATAAAGTCATTGAAGGGTGAGCATGTGTGTGCTCGAGAGTATCAAAACAAGCATGCAACAGCTGCATATTTGAGCATAAAGTATCAAGATAAGATCAGGGATAATCCAAGAGGTGCTTTGATGGGGCTGAAGAATGACATCAGGAGAGACTTAATGATCAATGTTTCAATTGCTAAGGTCGGCAGAGCTAAGCGTAAGGCAAAGGATCTGATGCTTGGTACGGACATGGAGCAGTATCAGAAACTTTGGAGTTATGCAGCGACAGTCCGAGACACAAATCCTGGAAGTACTATCAAGATTCAGATGGACAGACCAACTGAAGGTTCAAATGGGACATTTGAAAGATTATATTATTGCTTGCATGCATGCAAGCAGGGTTTTCTTGATGGTTGTAGACCAATAATTGGTCTAGATGGCTGTTTTCTTAAAACAGCATTTGGTGGCCAATTACTGTCTGCTCTTGGGAGAGATGGCAACGACAACATGGTGCCAATAGCAGTTGCAGTGGTTGAGGTAGAGAGGTATGACTCCTGAAAATGGTTTTTGGAGTTGTTAATGGCTGATTTGGGCATAGGAAAGGATAACATTCCTTGGACATTTATCTCAGATAGACAGAAATGGCTAGTACATGCTGTGAATGAACTTTTTCCAGATTCGGAACATAGATTCTGCTTGAGACATATGTACCAAAATTTCAACCAAAAGTTCAAATGAAAGGAAATGAAAGACATGTTCTGGGCTGCTGCAAGTGTTGGCAATGAAAATGAATGGAAGGTGGCAATGAATGACTTGGAAAAGGCAAACAAAGAAGCTGCTGAATGGCTGAACCGGATTCCACCAACTCTGTGGAGTAGATCACATTTTAGAGGAAGTAGTAAGTGTGACATTCTAGTGAACAACCTAAATGAGTCATTCAACAAGTATATATTAGAAGCAAGAGAGTTACCAATCATTGGGATGCTTGAATGGATAAGGAGGAAGCTGATGCATAGAATTCAAACAAAAAGATCTGGAATGCAAAAGTTTCATGGACAAATCTGTCCAAATATAGCAGAAAAGATTGATAAGAATCAAAGGTTGAGCCGGACATTTGTTGCGACATGGGACGGACATCAGAAATATGAGATAGATTGTGGTCCGAGAAAATGTGTGGTGGTTGATTTGCATGAATGGACTTGTACCTGTGGTTATTTTCAACTAACAGGTTATCCTTGTGCCCATGCATGTGCTGCAATAGGAGTGTGTAGATTACCTATAAACGATTATGTTCATGCTTGCTACACTAGAGTAGAATATCTGAAGATATATGCACACACTATCACACCTGTTCCAAGTGATACCTACTGAATAACATGTGAACAAGAGGGCTTAAACCCCCCTGAAGTTAGGAGAATGCCTGGCAGACCAAAGAAGATGCGTCAAAGAGCACAAGATGAGCCTAAGAAGGGGCAAATATCTACTAGAAAGGGTCTATCTGTGCATTGCAAGAGGTGTTTTCAACCAAATCATAACTCACGGACGTGCAAGAATCCCATTCACCCTAACTCCAAATTTTACAAGGTAATCTTTCATTGTACACTTAAATGGCATTGTTACAGCATTTGTATTTATTATTACTAATGTTAAATGCTCTTTGTAGGCACCTGAAGCAAGTGTTACAGCTTCCATGCAATCACAGCCAATTGTTGAGTCATCTACTGAACCACAGTCATTTACTGAAGAGGCTGCTGCAACCGGGACTACTACAAAGACAAGCACTAAGGCTCGGAAGGTGTACACTCCTTCCATAACATTCACTGGTTGAAAGACTTATCAGTTCAGTGGGACATTTCTAAATTGTCTTTTTGTTTTAATTTCAGTCTGTAGCTGGTACAAACCAAGGGTGTAGCAGGGCTGATGACACCACTGCACCAACAAAAAGAGCTCTGGCTCGTACTGTTACTGATGTCCTGCAGAAGTTAAGGCCAAAGAGAGCAAAAGCTGTCCAGCCTTAATTACTTGCCTAATATTTGCCTATCTGTATTTAGACTTTCATTTTGGAATATTACATCTGGTTGTAATGATGCCTGCAGAATGATTGGTTGCCTGCAGAACGTCTGGAATTCTTTTGTCTAATTTTTTGTACACTTGACTTGGCAGTAGTTGCCACTATTTGGTTGTACCTTTTGAATGAAGTTCTCTGTGCAGCCAGGTTATTTTACAGAAATTTTCCACCAAGTGCTAAACCTTTTGTCTGTAATGGCACTTCGTGCCTCTTTGATCACTAGTTATTTTACAGGTTATTGAACGTCTAGAAATCTTTTGTCTGTAAAGGCACGAATAATGGCACTTCGTGCCTCTTTTATTTTTTCTGTTCATTTTTCTAAAACATTTGCTGCTTATGAGTATTCTATTCAAAGTTTTAAGTTACAACATTTTGAAAGCAGTTGAAACAGTCGAATTATACTTCATCAAGAAAGCATAGCATTACAAGGTTCTAGCTGAAACAGCCAAATGATCAGCTTTAGCAACTCCATACAACTGGCTACCAAATTCCAGAGTCTTATTTGGTAGATATCAACAACAGTAAAATAGAAAAAACAGATACCATAACACAACCTCTAACTAGCAATTTTAAGTTCTTGAACTCATTATCCAAATTTTCCAGTTTTGAGAGCACGCCATCCACATTGGAATGTTCTGCAACAGGTTGGCTCACAAACTGATTTTCCCGATCTGGTTCATCTCTGTAAATGGGAATACACCAAGAAAAGAACCTACATTCATCTTTTTCACACACAAAATATAACATTCCCTTTGATGGCTTTTCCGACTCAACAATCTTTAGTTTCGCCTTCCTTCGACAATTACACATCTTGTACTGGTATCGAAGATCTCTAGCTCCGTTTCCCCCACTGCCTGGTCGAGAGCTTGAGGAAGACATCGTCGTACGGTTTCTTAATTATTCCTTTCACTATTTACACAAACAAAAATATAGAGCTCATTATAAGAATTTATTGATATTCCAAATGGTTAAAGGTTTTACCTTTTGAAACTTGCACTTAAGGAGGCACAAGCCTGCAGATTTTCCTCCTGAGGCACGAGAGCTTGAAGAAACCTTCGGTCAAAGAAGCTGGGTTTCTCCAAAGTCCGACGAAAATGATTGGAAATCAAGTTTTATTAAGTTGTCAAGGGCACAAGAGGAATATCAGCTCAAACTTTGAGTTAAAAAACCATTTTCCGAAGCAACCACGCTCTTTTTCAGCGCGTGGTTCATAATCGCGTTTTCATTAACGATTTCCGTCTAAAATGCACTTTCTTTCAAACCATGGGGTACCGATAGGCATGATTTGAAACTACGAGGGGTTTTTATGTGTAATAACTATACCACAGGGGGCTTTTATGTTTTTAACCCAATGTAAAATCATACGCTTTCGGCGGGAAACGAAAATGTTAATGTTTGTCAAGATATATATATATATATATATATCGAGTAGAATGAAAAAACCTTTGCTGAAAATTTAAAATGTTGATTCGTACAATCGAATGGAGCAAGTGAGCAACGTGGGCAATTTCTGTAATTAACCCATTTAAGATTTTATAAGATACATTGGATTAGGGCTGGCCCAACAAACTTCACAGGTTTTAATTCTGACGAGCCCGTGGCTTTTTAGCACACTGGATTCACAGTGTAAACCGAAAGACGCCGGATTCACCGCCATATTTCGACAAGCCTGTGGTCAGCACACTGGATTCTCGCTCATCTCATCTTCTCAACTAATCTCCCCTGTTTTTACAAATACCCTATCTATTCAGTTTCCTCTCAATTTTCGTCTCCTTTTTCCATTTCGGAAATCCACAGAAGCTTCTTCGGCATGGCTCTTCGAACTCTAGTCACCAGAAAAGCCCTAGGCAACTCAGTAGCGTTCCGGCAACAGCTGCGCGGCTTGCAGACCTACACGTTGCCGGATCTTCCCTACGATTATGGAGCTATTGAGCCGGCGATAAGCGGAGAGATCATGCAACTCCACCACCAGAAGCATCACCAGACTTACGTCACCAATTTCAACAAGGCTCTTGAGCAGCTTGATGATGCTATTAACAAAGGCGACGCTCCTACTGTTGTCAAATTGCAGAGCGCCATCAAATTCAATGGCGGAGGTTCATTCCTTTTTCCCCTTTGCGCATAAGATTCTGCTTGAAATGTCACGTCTGTCTTGTATTTGGAAAACTATTTTGTCTTGCTGGCTTTTACGGTAATTACTGGAATTTAGGAATAATCAGGCATTACAGTGATATTTCTACGGTTAAAAGAGCGATACGCTATTGTGCTAGCTCAGATGTAAACAATATGCGTTTGTGATTGCAACATTTGGAATTTAGGAACAAGGTGCTGGACTGCGTGTCACTGTTAAAATCTATTGAAAAAGTTCAGTAAACTTTCACTGGCATTTTAGTGGGGGCATGTAATTTGCGTTAATCTATATTACTTGGTAAGTAGGCATTTATGAAGGAAAGCATGTCCGTGTGCACAAAAATAACCTTTGGTGAGAGGGACACTTTCAAAGTAATCATGTCTTAATGGGCTAGTTTCCAAGTTATGGGAGTTTGATGCATGAAAGTATACACATTGACATAATTGTAGCTCAACGAAGCTTGAATTAGGTTGTCGGGGGCAAATGCACGGTCATGAGACTGTTAAGAAGGTTTTGATTGATTAATTTATTGAAGTTAGATGACCAATGGGGCTTTCTAGCCCTTTAAGTTCAAAATATTTACATCTTCGAGTCTACTGAGTGCTGCAATAAGTGCATGGAAAAAATAACACCTTTATTGTGAAGATTAGCATGGATACAACATCATTTCATACTATACATAACTACCACATTGTTATAAGTTTGTAAAGGCCCATGATTCTGTGCGAAACATGTTGTTGGAAAAATTTTGCTTGGGATACTAAAAATTTTGGTGATGTTTGATGTATGGGGTTAGATTTCAGCCATCAACCTTGCTTTGCTCTCAGCTTGATGGCTTGCTTGGCTATATCAATGTGACAGATTATTTAATATCTACTGACATTTTTTAACTATCTTTTTTGATTTTCAGGCCATATCAATCACTCTATTTTCTGGAAGAATCTTGCACCCATTCGTGTAAGTTTATCATCTGAGGATTGTCTTTTTCTTCTGTTCATTATGTTAATATGCATGCCAAATGATTACAATCTCATTGCAGGAAGGTGGTGGTGAGCCTCCAAAGGGTTCTTTAGGCTGGGCTATTGATAACCATTTTGGCTCTTTGGAAGCCTTAGTACAAAAGATGAATGCAGATGGTGCTGGTTTACAGGGATCTGGTTGGGTGGTAAGTTTTATCCTTGTGAATCAGTGTTTCCCGTGGCGAAACTTGCAATTGGCTCCTGGTGCTTTTGAAGGTAACATTTTCTTCACGTTCTCATTTTAAATAAACTTGGCAGTGGCTTGGATTGGACAAAGAGCTGAAACGCCTTGTGGTCGAAACAACAGCGAATCAGGTACTTGATTTTGGATTTGTCTTTTAGCTTCTAGCTGAAAATTTTGGCCGTTATTGGATGTATATTCAACGCTCAATTCTTCTTCCATTACTTGTCCTAACTTCAATTTTGGAGAGTTTATGGATGAGTTTTAACCTTTGAATTTTGTTTTTTTCAAGTCCACAGGAATGGCTATCTGAAACAGTAGCATCTTATATAAAAAAATTTCCATTGCACTATGCTTGTGTTTATTCTGGAATTGCTTTAGCATTCTCAATCAAATGTCTGCTCAGTCAAACCGTGGCAGTCTGGTAGACCCATCAAGCCTGATCGAGTTGCCAACTCCTACTTTCTTCCCCATACAATCCCCTCATACAAACCTTGCTAGATCTGATACACACAATTCGTTTGTTTTACATAAAAGATTTTTCACGGTAAAGTGGTTTAAATATTTTAAATTTCTTGTGGTGAGGGGCAAATGTGAGACATTCTGTTCATTTTTCAAAGAACAAGTTTAATGCTGGCAAGTTCATGTCTTGTACTTTTATTTTTTCAATTCTGAGTTGAACCTTTATTTTCCTGCTGAAGGAATACTGAATGCCTACCGCATGTAGTGTTCCTGTGTTTTCTCGTAAGTATGAAATCTTGTAATTAACACCAATCTGTTTCGACTGTGTGCTACTAGTCTGCGTAACTCTGAGCTGCAAGAGGCTAAGAAAAGATTTCAATCTTCTGAGCTGATATTTACACTAGTTCCATCCTGTAACATGTATAAGCAAAGTAATGAAGTAAGGCCTCATAACGTGTATTAATGCTTCCTTGCAGGACCCTCTGGTTACTAAGGGATCCAGTTTGGTTCCTCTGCTTGGTATTGATGTCTGGGAACACGCTTACTACTTACAGGTTATTTATCTCCTTATTTTCCTTCCTTTCCTTCCTTTTTTTACTTTTTTGTCATCTTTTTTCCTTGGGTTTTGCAAGGAGTTGCTTAGTTTTTCTGAGTTGCAGTACTAGTTTGTCCACTCTTGCATGGAAGTTTCGTCCTGTGAATCTACGTACTTGTTTGCTTAGCGTGAACTTTGAAACATTACAATCCTCTAATGCTGAATACATTCATTGCCTCCTTTGATGCAGTACAAAAATGTAAGGCCTGATTACCTCAAAAACATATGGAAAGTCATCAACTGGAAATATGCAAGTGATATTTATGAGAAAGAATGCCCTTGATCAGACACTTGCTGAACTGGAGAACTGGCCTCAAGGGAGATGGTTTACCAGCTCTCTACCCAGTTTAGATAGGCAATAAATTCTGCAACTTTTGTGGCATCCCTAAATTTCCCGTTGCAGTGTGAACTTAATGATGTATTATTAGCGTTGGATCCTAAATGCATATTTAGTTTAGGTTGTTGCCTGCTGTTCTAAAGCTTTCAGGATCATCTTAATAATATCAACCCTCCCTGTGGTTTCAGTTTCTGGTTTGCCACAAAGTACGCAAGATTGCAAGTTGCCTTTAATCATGGGCCATACATTTGATTTGGCAGAACCTTCTGGATTTCTTGTTCTTGGCACTAAGTAAACATTGCTTTGAAAAGTACATGAATTGACGACTGGCAGTTGCCAAACTTACAGAATAATTTGGCTACTTCTGAATATTTTCTGAAACCATGTCAGTTGACGTTAACATGTAATATATTGACATCAACGGGCGCAAAATCCATGAAATAACAAGAAAAGAAGTACTATAAGATTATGGGTCAGTTTCCCCTTTTTCAGAGGCACAGTACTAGGCTATGAATTTCCTACTGTCTAATTTTGTGCATTTCATACGCATAGCTTCAACATCATACAAGTCTGAATTGGAATTATAGAACTTTCAAAGAATAGTTTCTATGACGTTGGGTAGAAAGACCTTCCAAGGTGAACTACTATTTGGTAGAAACCAACGCTGTGTCTCACATTAGGAATCTAATGGAAGTGTAACTAGACATATGAGCTTAACGCTTAGAAGGAATGGCATCATTGCAGTGCGAGGTCGATTTCAGCAATTTAAAAGGTCACATCTGCCTTGGCGAACCCACCCAAGACTTCTTTGTCTGCTAGGAACTTAGGGTAGCTCCATAAATTTTCATCGTCATTTGAGGACCTCCACATGCATCTCAACTGACCGTCAACCCTGCTGTTATTTAGCATGTATAGACTGCATTTTGAACTCTGTTGAACACTCAAATCATCTTATTGAACACTGTTGGAGCGCTTTAAAAGTTTTTATACATTCTGTCATGGGGCAATTCGTTTTGATGGCATTGGGAGCGATATGTGATCTACTGGCCACGTATCCCTCCTGTCACAATAATTCCAAATTCCCGTTCTTAGGTGACTGTTCAATATGCCAATTAGATCAAGGATTCAGCAGGCAAAGCGTCACAAAGCTTTCATGATGATGATAATCAATGATTTGCATCACCAAAGCCAAGAGATGGGGTTTCCCACAAAAGTATATTCGGCCAGGCTGTGAGATCAAAAGTTTCTAAAGCAATAGGAGGATCCTGATCTGACAAAGAACACAAGGAAGGAGAAAACGCTACCTCGTGCAAGGCGTTCATTATCGCCCCAATGGATGGAGAATTAAGTTTAGCACGACTTGCTACCTGAACCAGTGAACCGTCAAAAAGCAGAAATGAAAAGAGAAAAGACAAACTTCGATCACCTTATGGATAAGAATTTGATAACAATCGAAGGCCTAGACATACACATTCCTTGAGTACCTCATCAATCTTGATGTATCCAACTGGCAGTTTGGGGTCACTTTCATCCACCATTAGTCTTATCAGTTTTTCAAGGTTTCTTCCATTGCCGTCGCTTATCCACCCCAATTGCTCAGCCAAATTCAACATGCGAGCAAGGTGAGATGCTTGGTGAAGAGGTCCTGTCCAAAGAGGTCCCGAGACGATTAGCGAGTTGGGAACCTACAATGAAATAACATAAATTTAAAAGTTCATCATAGAAGGTTTTTGAAGGGCGTGTCATTCAGCAGAAAGAGAGCTGCATTATTTAACTCATCACACGTGCAAATGCTTCTCTTGAACCAGTTCACTGCCTAACACTCACAAACATCTCAACACAAGAAGACACGGGTGGTAAGATAAGGTACTCACACATGCATTAGTGATGCAGGGGCATCTGATCTGACCAAGTTGATCCCAAGAAACTGTTTGAGAATTTCCACACTGAATGCAGTAGCTGATGAAGTTATAGGTGCTGTAATAAATCATGCAAGTCACCATCAATTACAGAGATCCCAAGAGAATCAAACACGACTCACAAAGAATCAAACAATTCTTTACCTGCTATCAGGAAGCCTTCCACGCTTAATCTGAAGCATTGCTCTAAAAACAGGGCCGTGATACGAGTAGTAGGAAAACAACGGCACAACATGGTAACCAAGCACAGAAGCCTCCCTAAGCGCCCCACCTATAAGCATCCGCAAACCAACCTCATTTGAGTATGGCATTGGCCGAACATATGCTCCATATGCAGCCAAAGAACTAGAAGAAAGCAATAACACAGTAAATGATTCAAACATAAATCAATGTAGGAATAAAAGAAAATCATAGGAATGTAAAGGCCAAGCATACTGTTGAGGGCGGTGGCCACCGGATGAGTAGCCATCAGTAGAAGTAATATACAACAAACCGTCCAATTTGACAGCCCCAATAGCAGCTCTCAAGAAGCTAGAATCACTTCCAAACGAGTCAACATCGACCAGGTCAAAATAATCCTTTTCCAGATAACGCTCCGTCATTACTCTATTGGCATCCGAATTCATCACAACCCATCTTTCTTCCGAAATCCGGGACAAATTTCCCGAAATAATCCCTCTATAGTTTTCGTTTGCGTCATTAGCTAACACGAAGTCGGCTTTTGCCTCTACTAAGTACCTGAGGGACCGAATTCCACATCCACATAGGGCGTCGAGAACTCGAAGACTGCCATTGGATTGCTTATAGAGGGCTGCCGAGAGAACGCCGAAGTCACGACCGGTGGCGCTCTCATGGCGGAAGAAGGTGTCTCCGATGTCAAACTGAAGACCCCTTTCGGTTTGGTATTGAGATTTGCAGGCTTTGGGAAAAACGGGTTTTAGGGTTTTAGGTTGGGAATTGGGAGGGTAGAAAGGCGGGGATAGAGGTTGCAGTTGCAGGGGGAGCGATAGCATGGCGGGAAATGACCAGAATATGCCGACCGTTACTTGGCGGTGGTTTATGGTTTGGCCTTTCTGGGCAGCTGCAGGGGTAGTTTGGGCTTTTTAGGTGCCTGTCCATGATGACAAACATGGACTAGCTCACACGGGATCAAGAAACAGGGAAAACAAAACAACCGTGCGATCCTGCACATTGCAGAATTTTGTCTCCTTCACTCTGCTCACCTCATCTGCTTCTTCCTCTCTCATAATGGTGGATTCCATCCTGTGGGTTGTTGAGAAAGGAGAACACTTCTTGGAAGCTTGCTAATATACCAGGTGGTTACTTTTTGGTTGCTGAAAATAAGAGAAAACAGGCGGTTACTTTTTGGTTGCTGAATAAGGGAAAACAATCGATCCGTTGGTGCTTATTAACCCCCTCGCGGAAGCAAACAAAAGAATGCGATTTCAGTTTCAACACCCAATTAATATGGTCAACAAGAAGAAGAAGACAAAAATTAAGAAGAAAGGAAGAGTGGACATCCCCCTTTGCATTCAATGATAAGGTAAAAGTTCAAGTCTTTTTTTTGGTCAGATTACATGAATCTACTTCGATCAGTTTAATCTCACAAGCATTTGTTCTCTTACCATTATTTGTTCATTTACAGCGTTGATTATATATTGCTGCAATACCCCAGATTGTGGTTATCTGGAAAATTTAATCCCTTTTTGGGGAAATAATGATAATTACAGAAAATGTGTTCAAAATCAGCTGTGTGGGTTCTTTTGCACTAAACTATCTTACTTGGGTATATAGGATGTTAACCTTCAATTATCCGACAACATTATGGCCAAAGATGGAAAAACGAGTTGGCAAAATATGTTGGACATAGTATTCATATTTTGTTATTGCACGTCGTAATGTTAGCTTTTGAATCAATGAAAGCACTTCATTCAATTTGGGTTTAGAAGATTAGAAGACATGGAAAATACTTAGATGGACCTAGCTTATCTCTTTGTGGATCATCTAGTCAAGATTGTACTGCATCACCTTCTACATGGTCCAACCAAAGAATAAACTTATTTATTAGATATTGTGGGGCACTATTGACCACGTGGCCCTACTTCAGTTGGCAGGTCTGCTCTACCTAAGTATTTCCTTACTAGAGAGGAATGCTTTTCCGACAACATTATGGCCTTTCGTAATGCTGTATTTCTATTCTGCCCCTTTTGAATCATGAGTCAGCTCGAGATTAGTGATGATACAACTGAGTAACTTGTGCCACTTGATGCATGATATGAGTGAAGTTGGTGAATGGGGGTATATTGGGCAAATTACTCTTTCTATATTCTGTGACAACCATTGTAGCCTTTGCCCATTTAGCATATAAATAGAACTATGGTAAGTCCTTTATTGTGATTTACTGCTATTAAGATCTATCTGTTTTGGTCTAAAATGTGGTAACATCATCATATATGCATAAGTGTAATGCTTGCTTTCAACATGTTTGACTTAGATGGATGTCTAGATGTTAATGTCATGATAATTGTGATTAAAAAAAATCCAAATTCTTCTTGGTCACTGTGAAACTTAATTTGATTGTGCTGGGATATTGAGCACATCCCATACTTGCCTCCGTTTGTAGTATAGAGTGCATGCCAAGCAATTTGTTTAGCATGGTACCTGTGATGCACAAAAACTGAATCATCATAAAACATGTCTTGTATATCCTGCAAGTACAAAGAGTTGGCTCAAGTGCAACCTAAGCTGATGACATGTTGAAACAGGTCCAAGGTCCAGAGTTTGTAATAAATTCCACTGCTGGTTGCCTTCTTGAGAATTTGGACACTTTTGGGCTTCCAAAGTTATTATTCAAGAGCTTTTTTTTTTTAACTGGAGAAAACCCATGCGATCAGACAAAATAAATTTAACTTTGTATTGACTTTCAGTTGTTTATTTTACATCCTTGCAATAGCCAAATATCTCCACTGTTTTTACTTCGTTTCTTGTATCATACATACCTTAAAAGTGGGTGTCTAAGAAGTCTAAATTGGGCACTGGAGTGGCAGAAACGAGATTTTAATGACTCTTTATATTTAATGCAGATAGTGTTTAGTGAAGGGGCATTTTGTAATTATTGAATTGCATCAAGCCGAAATATAGTGAATATTTTGGCCTCTTCAGAAGGAGTGAAAATACTGTTTTTGTAATTTCCATTTGTGGTCATGAAGTTTTGGAATGGTTTAGATAGTTTATGGAATTGATGCTAATTGCATGATTTTCATTTGACACAATTTCCAAGAAAGCAAATAAATTACAATTTTTTCTGATAATTAGTGAAGGATTTTTTGTGAATTTAATGAACAAAACACTCAGCAGATAGACGTGGCTGAAATTTCCCAACAAAGAGTGGCATTAAATGCACAGGTGTCTTCATCTGAAACAAAATTGTATAAGTTTCATGATTGAGGTACCATCTTATGCACGCAATTTCAGCCGCGTAATGTTGTCTAAGTTTGGAAGACCCCAACTTTATCATTTATTAACTCTTCCAGAATAGCATTGTCCTTTTGTTTCTTTCTCTGCTGTGGAGAGAGTAAGGTCCTTTGGGAAGTTTAGTATTTTTCAAGTTTTAGAGAAGTAAAACTTGTTTTCCTTTTCTAATTGTTGAATTCTGGTCTGGCTTAATCTCAGATCTTTTGGTTGGGGTTAAATTTGTTCAGTAAAGGAACCTTATATTTCTCAAGTCTGAGAGTTTCCTTTTCTAAGTTACTTCTGATGTTTGTGTTTCCTTTACGGAGGATCTCGTTTGGAAGCAGCTATAGAGAGTGGTACTTTTCTACAATTGGCTGTTTAATTGTCCTCTATGCTTCCTTCTTGTTTAATCTCAGGTTATGAAAAACATTTTCTTTGTTTGTGTATCAAGTCCCCATCTCTTTCTGTTGGAATGTGAACTAGTCTTCTTCAAGTTCCGAGTCGTCCTTTATTCGCTAGCTTCACCTCAATTTGTTGTTATCCAATTAGGCTTTTGCACAATTCATAGTTCATCTTGCCTAAGCATACTGCTGTTTTCCAACTCCATATCTACGTAGGCTCAGAGGATTAAATATCTTGGGCCCCGCCAATAGTGCCATGGTGGAATTTGTATTTTTCTGGATGCTAAGATTGGGGTTGCTGCTGGTCGGGTCTTTTTCTGCAATATACTGCTTATATCTTAATTTATCTTATCGAAACTAGCCACCATTGATAGGGTTTTTGAGTGGCCTTGGTCTTTTCCTCTGATCATAAGATTCTCTAGATTGTTCCGATCATGGATTATACTTCAGTTGGTTCTTCATCCTCTTTCTCTTCAATGTCGGATAAAAATCTTCTGCACAGTGAGGCTGAATGTTGGTTGAAAGCTGAAAAAGCAGCCCAGGATGTATTATTTGTCGTACAACCAACTGTACTTTCCTATAAAAAAAGGTTGGAAATTGTGAGCTATGTCCGGGAACTAATTAGAGATATTGTTGGAGATGAGGTTAGACCTTCATTTGTCCCTAAATTTTGGTTTGGTTGGTTTTTTTTTCCTGCCACTTTTTGGCCTTTTGACTGATTTTGTATAAATATATGATTGAGGTATTTGCTTTAACCTTGGTTTTTTACCACAAAACTTGTCTTTCTTTTAGCTTCATGTAACTATTGTGCCTCTAAAACCTCTTTATTGGATTTTCCAAAATTCTCCATTTTCTCTTCTTTATTTCAAAGTTTAATAGTCCGCATCCTTTGTGCAGAACTATAATGATAATACCTAATTTCTCCAGATCTAACCATTGATGTACAGTTTTTCAGCATTTAGTTTCAAACTTATCTGAGACACTGCTGCCAGGAATGGATAATTTAGACATCATATCTCTTTTCCTTAAATCTTATAGTTTCCCAAAATTGCTCTGAACATTTAATGCATCTGAAAATGTAAAATTTGTTGATAAGATCAACAAGGATTTTATAATGTTAAGATGCCTTTTACCATGTGTTCCTGAATAGTGTATGTTGCCAATGTCTCTGACTTTGTCAGGCAAATAGATATAAAGGACTTTAGAAGCTTTACTGTCTATGGCAGTTAGCTTTTTCTGGTCTGTGCTTCCCCTGACAAGTTTGGAGCATATACACATGGGTGCTGTATGATGGCCTTAAATAAATGTTACATGACATTGGGTTACCTTAAATTGTACTTTATTCTGCTGTCTAGACTTTTTGATGTATGAGGAGGTCATTATGCACTTGCATTGCAGGTTATGGCATTCGGTTCAACGCCACTGAAAACATATCTACCTGATGGAGACATTGATCTGACAGTAATCACTTCTCAAAATGATGTGGCGTATTTGGTTAGCACTGTTTGCAGTATCCTTGAAGAGCAGATTTGTGACAGTTCTCCAATAAAGAACGTTCAAGTCGTTGATGCACGGGTAGTTCTTAAATCTAACTTCTGCTATATTTGGTTTAAGAATTTGACTGGATTGAAAAATTGAGTTAGATCTGCACATGCTTCTTTTACAGTTGGCTTTCCAGTTCATGCTATCTTGGATCGTTGTACATACTTACTTTTCATTCACCTCTCCCTCCTCCCTTCCCCCTCTCCATGTTCTTTGCATGAATCAAGATCTTGTTCATAAATGTCTTAGGAAATCTTTGAAAGTTTAAATGCATTAAATTATTTGTCAAGGAACATGAAATCCGATTTCTCACTTTGAAGCAATTAAGTATCATTCTCTGTTTGTCGTCTTTCAAGTATGGAGGAATAATTTCCTTATGGTGATAAAGAAATGAAAAATGGTCAAGTTGCTTATGAAGATTGCTTTTGAGTTTTGATGGAGAATATCAAGCTTTTGTACTTTAAAATAATCAGTAAATATTTGACAATGGCGAAAGCAGTTAAAATGCTAATGATTCTGATGCTTATATTTGGTAGTGTTGTTTCAGCTGATTTAGTTATTATTCTTGTAATTCCTATAGAGACAAGCATACACTTACACATACACATACACACGTGGTCATTTGTACAACTTGTAGAAGCTTTAAGGGTTTGCCTTAGATCAACTTGGGGGTTACTCCAGTTTAACTTGGCAAGTCACAACTCCACATACACATATATGTAGGCTGGTTTATTCTTAGACCTCCAATTTTCTGGGGCCCTGTCCATAGAGTTCACACTTTACACCTTATTTAGCTTTAATGAAGTTTTGTTAAGCATGAGTGTCTCACCTTTTTGTGTTGCATAATAATTGGTCGCAATGGTAGAGTTGAGTTTCCATTGGTTCAAGCTTCCTTTTTTGTTTTTTTATTTTGTTTCTTCTTTAAAAGTGTTGCATAATTTGTCATGGAGGATGATTGTTTTTTCTTTTGCTTATGTTTAAATGATGGCATTGAAGTTGAGGATCAGAATTTTTCCTTTCATGAAAATTTTATGATCAACATGGCTGCTACGTGAACAGGATGTTGTTGCCAGAAATTCCACCTGTTTGGAAGCATTGTGTAGAACAATTGAAAGTTGAATGAGTCAGTGGCATGGTCAGATTTTTTGTTCAAGTTTTCTCTGAGTGCTTACCTATTGTATTTTGTTGGCGTTACCTCGTTTGCTCTGATAACTGATATCAAGATTAGACAAATGATTTTGGTGTTAACTTCAGCCTGTTAGAAGAGGTAAGCTGTTAAAATTGCAAGACAACAGAGGATTTAGCTGAAATGTCTTTGTTTAAATTGGTAACACTGGGCTTGACCTATTCCTTATTGCTTCTGGGAAAGAGCTTGTGGCTGCAAAATGCTCATAGTCAGCAGGTCAAGAATTTTATACATATTTACTTTCATGGGGTTGATGTCATTATTGTAAATGACAGGTTAAGATTGTCAAGTGCTGGGTGCAACATATGTGGGTGGACATTTCCTTCAATCAAGTGGCTGGACTTCATGCTTTGTGCTTCCTGGAGCAGGTTTGACTTTATAATTACTCTCATCATTTGGCCATAGCTTTGACAGAACAAACTAGGAGAAAATGCCTTTGAGAAACATTACCTAGTATCTACTGTCTTGTAACATGAAATTTCAGAAGTGCGTCTGGACATAAGTTTGAATATTTTCATTTAGATAAAAGCATTAACAGTTAGGTAATCAGAATCATATACAAACTTACACACCCACATATATATATATATGTGTGTGTGTGTGTGTGTGTGTGTATTCATAAGCTAAAGCACAATTATTACAAGTCAAAACTCAATTGCTAGTTTCTTTTCTTCCTGATCCTTGTGGAGTCTAAGAATGTAGTTGTGAGGTCTTCTGTCTTTGCTTGCTTTTTTATGTCTATGGCATCTTAGTTTGCACTTTGATCTGGCATTACTGCCACAATTTTGAATTATAGTAAGAGATGGTTAGTACCCTCTCATCCTGTCATGCATGTTAATCACCAATTGATGCAGATTTCCTTTCCATAGTTTCAGCACTGAAGCTTGCTTTTGTAGCAGCATTACCATGCAAAGAAAAGACACCTTTTTGAGGAGCGTTGCTTGACTGGATAGGTTTCAAAGAATATCTTTATTCTCAATACTTGATGCCAGTTTCTTGTAGTACAAGTCAACAGTTGAATCTTTTTTGCTGTTCGTGTCCATTTGGTTCTACCAATCTGTCTGTTCTTATCAACCTTAGCTTACATTTATGCTTACATGCATATTCTCCTTGCTTTGAGAAAGTGTTTTCTTTGTTTTTGTCGGTCAGTCTTCTATCTGGCCTCTGTGTAGAAATGTTGGACAACCATGGTTCCATATAAGCCACATAATCAGTGGTAACTGATCTGCACTTGTATATAATGTTTTATAGGACTAAAACATGCTTGTGCAAAATTTTAATTACAAGAATGGTGATATTAGATAGATCCATTATCAGTCATCTTATTGGTCCTATTTTCATTTCATTGCTGTATTTGACTAGTTTCTTTTTCCTTTTTCTCCATTTTATCTTATCAGACTGTATTACTTGCTTATGTTTAGGTATGCATTGTGAACTTCATTACTGGACCCTTTACTAGATACAGAAAGCCAAGAGAAAAAAATTGAGAAAACAGTTACTTATGATTCTATACATGCTTTTTCATACTTCTGAATTTTGTTGAGTGCTGCCAGCTCTCTCTCTCTCTCTCTCTCTCGCTTTGAATATGCTTTATTTCTGAAGAAGTTCAACATCTTTTCTGCCTATACGACAGATGGACCAGTATATTGGAAGGGGCAACCTTTTCAAACAGAGTCTAATCCTGATCAAAGCCTGGTGCTTCTATGAGAGTCGGCTTCTTGGTTCTCACTGTAACTTGATGTCAACTTATGCATTAGAGATTTTGGTCTTGTACATAATCAATATCTTTCATTGTTCTTTGAGCGGACCATTGGCGGTTAGTTCTGGTTCATGATTTCAACTAATTTACCCCTGTTATTGGATTTTTTTTAGTGATCATATTTACTGTTGTATTTACAGGTCTTGTATAAGTTTTTGGACTACTATAGCACTTTGGATTGGGACAAATACTGTATTAGTGTGTATGGTCCAGTTGACATAAATTTTCTTGCAAAAGCAGATGGTGAGTAGAATCTGACAAGAATGCTATCTAGTGCCTCAAAATACTTTCAGCTGTCTTTGTTTCAATGTTTCTTCATTTTCCTTTCTCTGAATGTTCATATCTGTTACATTATGCCTTAAAAACTGAGCAACTCTTTTCTCCACCTTTCTTCTTTTTTAGCTGTTTAATTTTCAAATTTAGTAATGTTACCAGTACCATGGATGTAAGGGTAAAAGTATTGAGTGTCCATTTCAAGGATTAGGTTTTATGCAGATAGGTTTTTTATTTGGAACTGGAAAGCTTTGCGTAATTTGGGACCATGGTTTGAGTACTTAAATAAAGTTTTTGCAAAGGGTTTTACTCAGGATTGGAGTTGGTCCCAGGTTGTAGAATTGCATCACGAACTTATGTGTGAGCTTGGCTGGGCTTTTTTCTATACTAGTTTGTTTTGGTTCATAATCTGCAGTAGCAGCACTAGGTGTTGGGCGGTCTTTGACAACTTAATTTCTTCTGTATTCAATTTCTGTTTGTTGCCTTTGGATCCTTGAATCTATTTTTTTGTATTGGCTCATAATTTTCGATTGCACCTTATTTTTCTCTTTTATGGTTGCGGTTTGTGCATGGGGTTTTCATGTGGCAGGAGGAAGGGGCATGCCTTAGTCAAGTATTTCCTTGTCTAGACTTGTATGTGAGCCCCAATGTTCATTCACCTATTGCCTGTTGGTGCTTAATGCACTTGGGTGCTGCCAATTGAATATTATATCAGAGTGGATTTCCTTTTTTCTGTGTATATTTGAGCATTTGGTGGTTACTTTCCTTGTAAAACTTTTTTCTCATTGTTCCCCTCTTTTGCCCAGTAGAGACATCAGCAACCAGGGGGACTAACTTGTTGCTTGGTAAGAATTTCCTTGAAAGCTGCATCAAGTCTTTCTCAACTTCAAAAGGGATGTTTGAGACCGAAAGACAAGAGTTCCAGATAAAGCATTTGAACATAATTGATCCTCTGAATCACAAAAATAACTTGGGCCGTAGCATCAGCAAAGGTACCATTTATTCTTTTTTGTGGAACTGTTATTTATTCTTGCTATTAGACTGAGAGCATTGTGAACCAGACGTGAAATAAATATTCTTTACTTGGGAACATTTTTAAATTTCATGTTTTACTGATAAGTGAAGATTATTGATCAACTAACATGCGGTCACCAGGAGTACTACGAAGTCATTTCAAGAAATTGTAACTTTTATAGGGATGTTAAAATCTTTTTTGTTTCTTTTCTTCAGACTATGTCCATTTGTGTTATTTGGTTCCAACTCCACTGTCATATTAGATAGCAATATTGAGGTTAATTTTTTAAAGTTTCATGTTTATGGCATGTAATAGTTGAGAAGCTGCACATCTTTTCCCTTTGTCCGATATTGTGAGCTTCAAGGAGAGATAGCTAAATGCATGAAAATGATACTATAGAAGATAAGAAGGGAAATTTATCTAGGTTACTAATGGTGTTTTGTCTGAGACCAACTACAAGAGCAGATAATTTATTCCCATTTTGAGGCTAGAATCAGAATAACTTGCAGAGAAACAGATTCGAGTCAAATGACATCATGCAACCCTCTGACTATAAAAAATTGTGGGAGTTAGTGCACTAGTTATTTGAGTTATTTGATTTATTGTTGCATTTGTACATATTTCGATTGATTGGATTCATTCTTAGCATTTATATTGGCTCCAAACTGATGGACTGATTATCCTCATTTCCTTTCCGACTCTTTTGCCATTTTTCATAAGAAATGCAAAACCTCTTGTACTAACATTTTCAATTGGTGAAAAATAGTATATCTGTCCAGCATATGAATAAAATTTTAAAGAGTCAAGAAACTTTGAGATTAAGGAAATGAGAGATTAATGAAAGGACACAGAAAGAAACTTACGTCTATGAGAGAGCAAAAAGCAGGAAAGATAAAATACGAAGATGCATAAAAGCACAAGAAACTCCTAAGTTTTCAGACGTAAAAGAGAATTTGTTGGTCAGAAAAGCTTGTAGCAGATGTCGTTGCATATGACAAATATTATGATCCAACAATTTGAATGCTGTTGTTTCTCTTTTTCCTCTTGCCTCTTTTGTTGTATGATTTTTGTCTGCAATATATCATGAAATATGTACCTTCAGACTTCCTCTTTAACCCATATAGTATATAAAGATATTCTGCAGAATTGTATGGAACTCAGTACACGAAATATCAGCTTCGTGCCATAAACCGATTGATTTGTGATATTGTAATTAGTTTTTGAAGATTAACTATTAGTTCATGATCAGTTGGTGTTTAGCAGTTTTAGCCAAAGACTTAATGTAAAGTTCACATGTATGGTATATTTTTATGCCTTTGACATGACAATTTGTTGGTATTTATAAGCATACCATTTGCATTCTTGATTTTTGGCTCATTAATTAGTCATTAATTGTGCCTTTTGTCTCATAGGCAATCTCTGTCGCATGAAAATTGCTTTCTCCTATGGATATGAAAAGCTCAGAGACGTTCTTAAGGGACCGCTAGAAAGCATAGGTGAAGGTGTAATGGGATTCCTTGTCAACACTATCAAATGGAGTGGAAGGTTACAAACCCTTGATGCAGAAGTTTCTGTTGTTGATAACCAATCTAGCATCTTTCACCTCAAAGGGGATTATAATTGTCCCATCCAATGCCTAAACTATTCCCAGTGGTATATTAACTCGGACGAGTTTCGACAATCAAGCCTTCAGACATTACCTTCTGTGGTTCAGAGCCAAAGCATAGAGGATGAATTTAGTCAGAATATCTATTTTGCTGGAGGTGCAGATTGTTTTGTCCCCTCATCAATTGTCCATCCAAATGCTTCGCAGCTTTTAGATTCTGTTTTGAGTGTCGATGAAACAGAAAATTACCTGGGAAAGGGCACATCTGTACCCCCTGCAAGTTCTAAGGGAAAATTCAAGTTGAGTGCGTCTGCTCCACCTTTCATTAGTTCACCTGTTAGCGAGAGAGCGAAGTGTGAAGGAACAGGCTTGTTCATCCCTAAAGTGGATATAGAAAGGGAGCCGAAGTCAAAAGAAAGAGATTTGCGTTCGCCTGAGGTGAGTAATCTGTCTAATCTGTCATTCCTTGGGTATGAATGGGACTGGTTATTTCAGGTTGAATTGTGTTTCACTTTTTGCAGGCACAGTGCCATGACTGGCGGATAAACTCGTCTCAGATGAAGAGGTATTCAGTAGGATCATCGCTGAAAACCTCTACAAGTAACCGGATGGCTGGTGGTATCCCATTCAAGTCGAGCAGGGTTAGGGAAAGCAGTCGTTTTAATGTCCCGAGAGAAGGGCACTGGCTTCTTTCTTCTCGTAAAACTTCTGCTGAATCAGACAAGGATGCTGGAAGCAGCACTTTTGTTCTGTCACTAGATGATTTTCCTCTGCTTTCTAGCTGCAAAAAACCTGTCACAAGCAGAAAGGCACAGCCAGATTCAGCTAACAAATGATTCCCCGTGGGCTTGCAAACTGTCCAACTGCAGAGATCTTCGGTAGCTGTACGAGTCATGTCCTTACCGATGACAGAGAAGCAGCAGGTTCATGTTTCAGACCATCTGCGGGATGATGTTTCGGCCATTTCTTCTGTATAAATTTCCATTCGTGACACTTCAACCAGATAAATGTCATACAATCAAATGCTATGTTAAGTGCTCTAGACCGCAGATATAGTGGTCTCAAATGGCAAAGGAAGTGCTACCCTCATACATGGCTAAATCCTTGCTGGATATGTTAAAAGTAGAGATAATTTAATGACTTTTTCAAGAAGAGTAGCACTTACTTTTCATACATAGCTAAATCCTTACCGGATTTTCAGTTATGGATTAATGGTCAGTCCGCCTAGAAATTGTTCCTGGAAAGCTACACCGGTTATTTGCTGAGAAAGAATATCCAGTCTATGTAGTTGTATTTCGTCTATCTTACAATTAGCAACTTCTCTTGTTTATATAACATGAATACTTTTAGAGCCTGAAAACATTCAGAGCACGTCAGGATTTGAGATAGAGAATCGACCAAAATCAAACAAGATTTGCTTGGTGCAGATTCATTGCCAGAAATTGGATCAGACTAGGTTCTAGGTCCTTGCAACAATGGAAGGTAGATAAGTAACCATACTTAAAATTGTATTATTAAAGTGTGTTCCTGCTCATTCAACATGGTCGAGACATTCATTTGACAAGGGAAGCCAACGGCCAAACAAGTTATGCCAAACCGCGTTTGCAAGGCAGGATGCGCGCAGCTTCTCTCATCTCTGAATGTACCGTGACAGATGAATCTCGCTGCGGTGTTTTAGTTTCTTTTATAATTTACCAACGCAACTTCCTTGTACCGTGATACGGTCAAGGTTGGAGTATATTACTGAACTACGCAGAGAATTATGAACTTATGTATAGACCATCTACTAATAACTTGATCAGAATGCATACGTTGGAGCAAAAATGATGGATGAATTTCGTTGACACTAGCCACCCCCCCCCCCTCCCCCCCCCCCCCTCCTCCTCCCCAACCAAAAAAAAAATCAAAAAAGAATGATGATTATGAAGGTAATATTGACCAACTTGTCCATCAACTTCGTACAGAGAAATGAATTTATTCACTCAAGGACAACATGGATGGGTGTCTAATACGGTGGAGCATCAGGTAGTAGATACAGATATTCCTCTTCATGTCGTACATCAAATTACTGGCATCAACCAGCTAATATGATTGAGCCATGCAATGACTCTGCTAGCTTTTACAGAATCTGAGAGTTAGTAGTAGTCTGAGGAGTTAAAATGAACATTTCACATGCGTGAGCTTCAACTTGAGCACTTAATGAAGCCACCTTGTTATCCGCAACAACTTCATGCTGCAATCAGTCAGAAGAATAGATTCCAAGTAAATATGGAAACAAAATGCATTCCAACTAACAGAATTGGATCATGTTACCTCTGATAAAAAAAGAATATAAGATTCCTAAGATGTTATATTTCAGTTCTAACTACTAAATTCCAACATTTTGATGGCACTCAGAAACATAACAAGGTTCAAATTCATGAATCCATTTTCTGCATTAGCATTCGGTCAATAACAGAGGCAAAATATTAGAACCCTGCAACTTAAAAAAAGCCACCAGAGAATCGCAGAGGCATATGATATGAGCGTTCCAGTGATCTATACAAGTTCCCACACTTCTCTAAATTGCAACTAAGTTTTATGAAATAGGCAAAGCTAGAACCAACTTGATTTTGGGGCTTAAGTAACTGCATATAATTCCTTTCTTGAAAAGGCCTTAGAGGCCGTAGCAACTTAAAAGTGACAGAGGGACCAAATCTCAAGAAAATACTAAAAAGTGTGGAAGATAAACCTTAAAAAGAATATGTTTCAAGTAAGTGATATTATTGCCTTATTTGTCTAAGTGTACCAGTATTAATCACCTTCCACAAATCTCTAACAGACACAGGGGTTGAAGATTCGAGTCCCAATGCTAACCATCCAGCCATAATAGTTGCAACTTTTGAACATCGATTCCATAGAACAACAACCACACGTTGCTCAGATAAAGGGCCAGCCCAAACCTGGTAAGAGAAATATATCTCTGTGGGCACATTTATATGTATTGTATGTAACAGAATGTAGTCATGGCATACTTTAGCAGACAAAGATTTGTTTGCACCACAAATGCCTCCCACCCAGAAAAAGACAAAAAGACAATTACTCTTAAAATAGACAGAACCTTTATAATTGTTCTCACAAATTCAGTTTCAGTTCACCCATCTCTCAAGAAACATCAATTTTGCACTCAAAGAAACACATCTAGAAGGACATTACAACTATGGATGAAAAGTTAACCAGTGGCATGAAGCAAGACAGACTGTAGCCTGACACCCCCTCGTGACAATTAAGTTCTGAAAGTTGAGCAAGCCCAATAAGAAAATAACCATATACCTTCTTTGCAAAGCGCATAGAATAAACATACAATTATCACTTCTTGCCCTTAGGGAGAGTTTCCATTTCCAGAATTAATGGCTCTCTCCTTTCATAACTGCAGAGAGAACCATTGTGCTGCTTCACGTGTCAACTGATTCATGTTACTCTTTTCTGCAGGCTCAAAAATTTTAATAACTCCTTGAATTCAGTCCAGAAAAAGGCTTGTACTTTTCGTTTTTGGCAGTTCCAAAATGGAAGTTTGAATTGATGCTAAAAGAAGAAAACCATATAGCCTAACTGTCCTGAACCCATTTGGACTTCACTCAACAGTCAAATGATGATGTAGAAAACCACAGATTCTCCACATCAATCACAGCTTACAAAATTAGAACCTAACTTGTTATGTTGTCTTTCAGAATAGTCCCATTGAAACCAAACATGGCTACTGAGGCACAGATCCCTCATAAAAGCGGATTACACACTTTCCTTTCTTCCTAGTCTGGCTATAAAGTATCCATACCAACTTTGTCTTCAATTCAAAACTCGCTACAATCCCAAAAGTTGATCCAGTTAAAAAATACAGCCATTCTAATAGTCAGACTACTTTTATGGATACATACAACTGAAAGTGTAGGAAAAAGAAAAACGCAGCCAAAGAGAAAGGAAGAACATAAAAGCAAAAGAGAATAACACCTGTTCACATCCATCTGTTCCAGAAACGTAAACTTTCCTTCCCTGAACCCCAAGTGAGTCTGCAGAGAGAAACAATCAAGATTATTCTTTCAAAGACATCAAGTTGAGATGTCTTTGCCAAGCAGTGCAAACTTATTCCAGTAAGCAACTCAGTTTTCAAACCTGTTTCATTACAATCACAGACAGAAGCAAGCTAGAAAAACCGTCAATTAAGACATTTTACCTTGATTTACAGCAATAACCTCTTCATTGCTCAGAATTTCAAATGTTTCAGAGGTCATATTTCTCACATCACAACCAACCAAAAGAGGAGCCTGCACTCAAGCAATTTACTTTCCATTGTCAGATTCATGCAGGGAACTAAAGTAAATTTTTAAAAGAATTGAGTGTAAAAAGGATGTGCATAGAAAAGGTTAGTTCACCAGTAAAATATTTTGAGATCTACCTGGTATACAGAATGGGCAATGAGCCAATGAAAAGGAAAACTAAAAGCAACACTAAACTCAGTTTTATTAAACAATCACAGTTATATTGCAAGTAAAACAAAATATAAGTTGCCAAGAGGTGTGAAATTTTGGTAAAAGAGCACCTTCATCAAAGCCCAAATGCTAAAATGTGCTCGATACTCCTGGCAAGTCATTCCCCCATTCCCAACCTCTAACATATCAGGGTCTGACAGAAGATCAAGCGATTGTGTAAGAAACTGAAAATCAGACCATAAAGGCTACGTTAACATTCATCAGACAAAGCTACACATTCTTACCATTCCATCCACCAGGACCAGCATAAGCAGCCCACTTGTCATTTAGATCAGCAATACTAGTCATGCTGGAATAGAAAACATTACAAGCTTGTCAGCATAATTTTTGGTTGGAGGCAGTTACTATAAATGCATGAAGATGGAAGAGCAATTAGAGATCATCCATGCCCATGTTTTTCTAGCTATCTTCTTATACAATTACATCAGAGAAACCATAGGCTCAAGCAGCTTTAGGACCAACTCTCAAACTTTGTTTTCTCAAGTAGATGCTTGTAAATCATGTTAATTTAGCAGGTGGAACTTAATTAAGTAATAGTGGTTGAAAAGTTGAAAACTTTAGCATCTAAATACAAAGTGATATTGTTGAAAGCGACATCTAAAGCTTTATTCAATACAATTGGCAGAAAACTTCTATTCATGGCGTTGTTCAATTAAATAGGTAACATTTAGTAAATGCCATTAATGATATACTGCATGGCAATGAGATAGCAGTTATTGTAACTCAACTTGATTTAGAAACAGGGAAAAAAGCATTTGAAAGAAAAGTATTGCCTTTATTTAACTTGAAGGTTTTATACTATCATCCTTTCAAGAAATTCTTTCAGTCCAGCTAAGAGAAAGATGCTTAAATTACAAAACCTTGCCCATGAATCATTGATGTCATCTGTTGTACGCCAGCTATTTCCAACTTTGCCAGCCCACAGAGCAGGATCATCAACGCCCCTGCCATATGTACAATTTAAGTAAAATCCATTATCAATATCCGGAGGCTTGAATTTGGGAATTGTATACTGGAGAAACAAGCAAAAGAGATAGAAGATTACCATTCACAAAGAGAATAGAATATTTTTCGCCCAGTTGCATTTAGGGCATCTCGCATTGGCGGGTATCTGGCAATCAAGAAATAAGCACATGGGTCAAACTATGGACATTGAGCAATAAGATTCACATTAACATGGGAAAGATTATAACCTTTCTTTTGGCTGGATACCCAAGTTGAAGCAGTTGTCATACTTTAAATAATCCACATCCTGTACAACAGACAATGTGACACACAAGGTAGCAGCTTAAATTTATAGATTTCAAAAGATCCAAACAAGTTGTTTATCTACAATTGGAACTCATGTATTGAAATTATTAAGCAGCAGTGGAACACACTGTTTCAAGATGGCAAGGCAGATATTGACCAAAATTCACAACCATCACTACCTGCATCCTTCCCACTAATTAAACCGAAGCTCTTATCATCCCCTAAGTGGCTTGACCAGCCCTACTACCACACGCTCTATTCCAACCCACACGTACCTCAAATTTCCATCAAACCATTATTTTCTTAACAAATTAAACAATAGCTTTACATCTGCTATGACTCCAGGTAAAACAAAATTTATCAGACAATACAAGATTGTCAATACTGCCACCAAAGTTGTGTAGCATTTAGATAGAGGGTAAAAAAGTATATGAGACTCCTGTGAATGCACATATCAAAATTTGAAATACTGGTCAGACTTGGTAAATTTCCTAACTTATCTGAAGCCCATATACCTGTATCGGACAGCAGAATGTAATAAAATAGTAAACTAAGAGATTTATGTCCTTCGCTACC